ACCAACCAACCAACTAACTAACAAACAAAGCAGCCAACTAGCAAACAAACAAACAAACCATAACCAACTAGCAAACAAACAAACAACTAGCAAAACAATCAAACAAACAAACCAGCCAACTAGCAAACAAACAAACAAACAATTAGTAAACAAACAAACAACTAGAAAACAAACAAATACACAGAGATATTCACACATGAACCTGCATATGTTATCTATATATAAAGAGGTAAAGGGCGAGTATACAAACGCGATTGAACGTTTTATCGGCAGATAAATAATCAGATTTCTAAATTTCCAGCCAGCACAATTTCATCTATATTTTCATTCATTCTCTCTCTCTCTCTCTCTCTCTCTCTCTCTCTCTCTTTCCACTTCTTTCTTTATTCTTCTTTCTTTTCTATCTTCTCTCTTTCTAACTCTCATTTCTTTATATTTATTTAATTATTTTTCTCAGTTTATCCATTTTAAGATTTTTTTAAAAATCTTTTCTAATCTTTTGTTATAATTGTTTTCTTCCTTTCTTTCTTTATTTCTTTCTCACTCTTTTTTTCTTTATTTTTCTTTTTCATTTTCTCTCTCTCTCTCTCTCTCTCTCTCTCTTTCTCAGTTTGGTAGACAACGTAACACGATTCTAAATCTCATCAAAGCATAAATAATAACGTCTCTTCGAACCGTTTAATGCGAATTTTTATCTTTTTGTCGCGGCCATTTTGTTTCTTCTCCTTCTTTTTATTGTTCATTCTTTTTTCCGCTTTTTCTGTCTCTCTTTTTGTCTCTCTTTCTCTCTCTCTTTCTCTTTCTTTTTTATTTTTCTTTTTTTTCTACAGTTTAATTTTATTTTATTTTCCCACTTGCTTTCTCTTCCTCCAATTCTTTTTTCCAAGTGTGTTTATCACTCTATCAGATTTGTCAAATTTGTTTGTAGTTATTATTCATTATACAAACACACACAAACACAGACAAACACACACGCACGCACATTCACAGACATACACGCACACTACTCAAACCAACACACACAGGCACGCCAGCACGTACGTGTAGAGCACAAATCATTATGCACTTGAGATAAACGTGCAATAGTCGGGATTATCTCTGCAATTGAACCAGGTCACTGCATAAGCATTTGTCAAGTCAGCACCAACAACATTGCAATGCTTCTACAGTCTGCACCATCGAAATAGCACATGTACCCATCCACGCACACACACACACACACACACACACACAAATACACGTACATAAATATATACCAACTTTTATATAAACACGCACACACACACGCATACACACCCACATAAACAAGATATTGATGTTCAAAAGCGAGGAAAACATTTATTGGCGGGCTATGTTTTTGTCTGCCGTACTAATCTCGAGCAAGTGCCAGCAATGAAACAGTCGACCAAAAGTAATAAAATAATTTTCTGGATTTCCTGAATTTTCCAGACGGAAAAATTATGATGATGATGAAGATAATGACGATGATGATGATGATGATGACGATGATGGCTCTGATGATGACGATGATGATGATGACGATGATGATGATGGCTCTGATGATGATGATGACGATGATGATGATGATGGCTCTGATGATGATGATGACGATGATGATGATGATGGCTTTGATGATAATGACGTTTTTGTTGAAAGTGACGATGATGATGACAACAGATTGATGATGATGATGATTATAATAGTAATAATAATATTAATAATAACAACGATAAAAAGTGATGATGATTAATGATATAATTGATAAGAAGCAATGACATCGGAGCTAATGATTAATGACTGTATTTGTGTGATATTCTTTGCTGACGAAATATGTAAACAACCTGCATTATCGCCCACAGCGTCCGTATCATTATCATCAACATTGACAAAAGTATCATCATCACCGCCAAATACAACATCATCATCATCATCAACTTCATCATCATCATCATCAACAGCATTAACTATACACAAGCATATAAACAGATAAAAAAACAAACAATCATACATACCTATTCATTTACACACACACACACACACGCACACACACACGCACACACACACACGCACACAAGCCAACATACCTTCATAATAAAGGCGAGCCAGAATTGGAATTTATCTATATTTCCCTCTTATTTTTGTTCTCATTCTCTATTCTCAAAAATTCCCATGCTCAAAAATAATGTTTTAACAATTATCACGGAAATCCTATGGGAACCCCATGCTCACCTCAACTTCAAACGTATACAAACAAACTAACAAACATACAAGCAAGCAAACAATATTGACTTGACTTGCTTATTTTCTTGGTGTCACACCGATTGAAAACAACGTTTTAAGACTGTATGTATCTGTATGTATGCGTATGTATGTATGTATGAATTTATAGGTGAATGTTTGTATGTTTGTTTGCTTCTTTGTATGTGTGTGTGTTTGTTTCTTTGTATGTATGTATGTTTGTATGTATGTATATTTGTATATTTTTCTGGGCTAAACAATTTCGAACTAATATAAAACCTATAATCTGGAAGATTAGCGGATGCGAACAATGTGAAATTTCATTAAAGTGTTTTGTTTCTTTTTGTATTTCTTTGTATGTATTGGTATATTTGTATATCTTGTTGTTTTTTTTTATAATTTTGCATTCGTTGTATATCTTGTTTGGTTTTAATAATTTGTATTTTTGCACGCCTTGAAATTTAAATTTTACTTAATTTGGGCGTATTTCGTACACTTCAGTTTTTCTGAACATGTAAATGTTCTTGTATTGTTTTGTATATTCTGTCTTGTTTTGTATTGTTTTGTATGTTTTTTATACTTTGTTTGTTTTTGTATACTTTGTATGTTTTTTTAGAATCCATTAAGAAAAAATGTTTTTGTCGTCGGCAGATAGGAGAAGAAATTATATGATATATAATCCTCTCTTTACATTTTCATCTTTCAAATTAAATTGTAAATATTTTGGATTAAGATTTGTTCATTCATTCATTTATGCATTCATCCATTTGTACGTTCGTTCGTTCATTCATTTGTTTATTTATTTGTATTTCATTTATTCATTCTTTTGTTTTTTCATTTATCTATTCATTCATTTATTCATCTATCTAGCTATCTTTCAATCCATCATAATCCTTCAAATCGGGCATACATTCATACATACTTACAAACATACATACATACAAACATACATACATACAAACTTACAAACATACATACATACATACATACATACATACATACATACATACATACATACATACCGACATACATTCATACATACATACATACATACATACATACAAGATATGCTATTTTCAAGATATGTTTAACGGTTTTTAAATGTGTTAAAGGAGTTGCTTCTAAATATTTAACTGACAGAGTCATTCCTCGAACAATGCCACTGCTAAATCAAACATTGCGCTCTGACACTTCAGGTTCACTGTTTTGTACCTGACACAAACTAGGCTCTTGGTCGAAGGAATTTTTCCGCAATGGGTCCCACTGTCTGGATTGGTTTTCCTGAAGAGCTTCGGGATCCTGCGTTGTCTGCTATTCAATTTTGTAAAAGGCTTAAACAGCATCTACTTGTCCAGGCTTACCCGTGCAAATGTCTTCCTCTCTCCATCCACTGCATTGCTTTAGTAAAGTGTTACGCATTGTACTGCAATAATCGTTGGGGCCACTGAAATCTTTTTGGTGGGCGCTTACAGACACACCAATAATAATAATAATAACTAATAATAATAATAATAATACGTGCAAAATAACCAGATCAATGTTTTATTTGGTCCGTTAATCAATGCTTTCATTCGTTTGCTAAGAAATAAAATCATTAAATTTTGCGTTTTTAACTCTTGATTGAATACGACAAAAAGAAATGAATGAATGAATAAATGAATGAATGAATAAATGAATGTCTCATTTTTTCATTCATTCATTCACTCTACCATCTATCCATTCATCAATCAATCCATCAAATCAGCAAGTATCCGTGTTTCTGTTTGAGAAGAAGACAGCGGAAAAGCTTCACAAACCAAAGCGGAAAGAGATCGTGACGGATATTTTGCGCCGTGACGTCATGACGATGACTAGGATTAAGTATCCAAAGATACTAAAAGTTGTCGATCTTCTACAAGAAAGTAAGTAAGTATCTCGGTGTTTGTTTGTTTATTTGATTGTTCGTCTGTTTGTTCGTTTGTTTGGATGTTTGTTCGTTCGTTTGGATGTTTTCTGGTTTGTTTGGATGAACGCACTGTTCTCATATTTAATAGTTCAACAGACTGAGAAAGTAGTGATGATGATGATGATGATGATGACGATGATGATGATGGCGATGATGATGATGATGATAATGATGATGATAATGATGATGATGACGACGACGACGATGATGAGGGTAGATGATGATGATGAAAATGATGATGATGACGATGATGACGACGATTAAGCATTATATTTGCATGTTTGTACTAGGAATGAATAGCTTAGAATAACAATATTTTTGTTATTTTTGTTGTTATTATTATTATTATTCTATTATTATTACTGTTATTATTATTGTTGTTGTTATTATTATCATTATTATTATTATTATTATTTGTGACGCGGTCCCAGAGCCATCGTTAATTAGTGAGACGTATCTTCAACTTGATCGATTGAGTTTGAGATAGCGGATAAATGAACGAATGAATTGGTGAATGAACGAATGAACGAATGAACGAACAAATGAATAAATGAACAAACGATCAAATGAATAAATGAATGTATTGGTGAATTGGTGAATGAATAAATGAGCGTACGAATGATTGGAAAATGAATGATTAAAAGGATAAATAATACGCGAATGACGCATGAATGTATTGATGGACAATAAAATTGAATGAACGAACGAAGGAATGAAGGAAAGAATGAACGAATAAGTGAACGAAAGAATGAACGAGTGAATGAACGAGTGAATGAGCAAAAGAATGAAAAATAAGTAAAAACAAGTAGAAAAAGAGATAATTGATTGATTGAGTAAACTCTTGAAACCTCAATAATTCCATGTGATGCATGTCTTATGTATTGGCGCTTGTTCGGTTGGATGATTGATTGAATGAATGATCGATTGATTGGTTGATTGATTGATCGTTTTAGGAATGAAATGAAAAAATGAATCAAAAAACTACATAAATGAACGAGTGTAAAAATGAACGACTTAATGTAGGAGTCAATTGATAGTTGAACCAGCAAAACGTTTCAACTAATTCATAAATTTAACACCAGTAAAACCTATCAAACTGCTGGGATTACTACTTCTACTAATAATACTACTACTGCTGCTACTAATGCTACTACTGTTGCTGCTACTACTGCCTCTACTGCTACCACTTCTGCAGTATATAACACAAAAACATAACTTGAGTAGCCCATACAAGGACTCTGACGTGTTTTTCGTGTAATATATCAACATGTCAAGATCTGTACAAGATAAAAATGTGTGTGTATGTTTATGTGTGTGTATGTGTTTATAATAATAAGAATAATAATGATATTCTTATTATTGTTATTATTATATTATTATTATTATTATTATTATTATTATTATTATTATTATTATTATTATTTAATCGCATCTTACGAATCTGTCAAAACGTTGTATGCTCCGTATGCTGGATGAATGGCAGATATGCAGATTGCTCGTTCCTCCATTCCTTTCATTCGGTCAGTCATTCAGTTTTTCTCTCATTCATTCACGCATACAAACACGTATAAAAACACATATACAATATACATTATTACGCACACAAACACGTATCTACATACAACCGTCCAAACAAACACATATACTTTCTTATATACCTATATATATACATACATTCATTCATACATACATACATACAAAACAACCAAAAATACATACATACATACATACAAATGTACATACAAACTATCAAACATAAATACTTTCAAAAAACCTATTAATATACATTACTGTTGACTGGTTTGGCATTCTCGCCGGCTCTCTCAATTGACTGATCATTTTGTTGTATCAATTTGTATCTCGATTGATGAGTGAATGAGTGAGAGAGGGAAAGAAAAAATAAAAGAAGAATAAAGAAAGAAATGAGTGAATGAGTGACTGAGTGAATAAAAAAATGAACGAACGAACGAACAAAAAATGAACATATATACCCACACATCTAGGGCATGCATACAAAGACCTACAAGACTGATGCACAGGTACACAAACATATTTACATAGTATACACACACACACAAACAAACATACATACATACACATATTCAGACAGACAAACAGACAGACAGTCAGACAGACAAACAGACAGACAATGAACATCGCTCCGTGGAAAATTACCTACAAAAGTTGCATGTTTGTTAGCAACACATTTTGAAAAAAAATTTTCAACCCACCTCAGCGATAGTTTCACTGTTTATTTTTCTTCAAATCTTTTTAAATTTTCCAGTGTCTTTGGTAATATTTTCGGTTTTTAAGGTTCGTAGCAAGAGTTTTTGTTTAGGTTTTTCAAACTTTTATCTTCTTGTTCGAACACATTTCAATTTTTATGAACATTCACGTTCATTTTTGAATTTTGCTGGGCTCCTTATGTTTTTGGGTACATTTATTGAAAGACAAAGAAAGAGAGAAAGAGAAAAAAAGAGAGAGTGAAAGAGAGAAAGAGAGAGGGGGAGAGAAATGGAGAGGTAAAGGTGGTGTGAAACTGTTAAAAAAATAAATCCCCGTTTTTTAGATTTACTCTTTAAACAATTTTACTTTATGTATCGTGTTTACACCCAAAAAAAAAACTGTTCTTTATGCTTGTAAGATTGTAGCAACACGCCATAAAATTTTGTCTCGTCTCATTTCGTTATTACTGTCGTTATAGGAGTTAAGGTCTTTTCTCGTTTCGTTTCGTTATCAAGGACGTATTAATCATACAAGAATAAGACTTTATCTGCCTGATTTAGAATCCAGTAACTGCAACAGCAGTGCCAGGCGTCTTCACCGTTATAAGGTAGTTTGATACAGTTAAGTATCGTTTCGAATCTTGCAGCATCGTATCGTTATTTCGTGTAATAATATCTTCAACTGCCTTCGACTGTGAAGTAATAAGGTGGTCTTTAGCTTTGTTTAGTAGCGCTAAAGATGTTTTTATGTGTGTTATTATTATTATTAAGTTATTATTATTATTGTTGTTGTTGTTGTTTCTGTTGATGTTTTTTGTTGATAATGTAAATGTTGTTATTGTTGTTGTTGTTGTTGTTGTTGTTGATAATGATGTTGTTGTTGATGATGGTGATGTTGTTGATGATGGTGATGTTGTTGATGATGGTGATGTTGTTGACGATGTTGTTGTTGTTGTTGTTGTTGTTGTTTTGTTGCAGTTACATATTAATGAAGAGGAGCAAATAATCATCAATAACTTTGCGGTTGTTTCCAGCTATTCAGCTACATTAATTTATTACTTTGTTTTGTTTGTTTCAATTAACTTTTGTATGTTTATTTGTATATTTGTTTGTTTGCATGCATGTATATATGTATGTATGTGTATATTTAAAACACACGTGCAAACAAACATACAGACACACATACGTACAATGAAATAGCACATTAAAATTCACATTCTTTTCCTCTTATAAATTGAAAAGCATGGTTATCAATCAAAAACGCCCTTAATACAACACGCAAATTCACACACACGCACACACACACGTACACACACACACGTACACACACACACACGTACAAACAAACAGAGACAGACAAGCGTACGTGCATAGACAAAGACAACATACATACGCCATGTTTCTTTTCTTGAGATTTTCAAAATCCCAAACCTGTCATTCTTATAAGAGAAAGCCCGTTCCTTCAACCCATTTTGTTAGTTTTTTTGAAAAAATGGATAAAAAAAACAACAACAATAATCATAATAATGATAACAACAACATCAACAAAGAAATTTTCAAAAATGACAAAAATTATTTCCAATCGCAGTGGTGAGGAAGCAACCAATAAGGGGTCGCAAAAAAAAACCGCGAAAAAATAGCCCGAAAAGTTATGACATCTCGTACCGAATAGGCACAAAAGGCCATTAATATATGGTGATGTTTAAACTTTTTTCTAACTTTAATAACATTAACAACAACAACAACAACAACAATAATAACAATAACCTCTCGTTCAAAAAATTTTTTCCCATGATTATAGTTTTTCAGCAGTTTGATTGACTCTAAAGGCATTGGCACGTTGATTTTAACGTGTTCATTGTTATTATCATTATTGTTATTATTATTACTGTTGTTGTTTTTATTATTATTCGTTATATTATTCTCGATCGTTAAAGCTTTTTAATCTAAGCACTTTTTTATATGGGTGAAACTTAGGTTGACCACCTTTTATGGTGCTGATGGTGGTGATGATGTTGATGGTGGTGCTGATAGTCGTGGTAGTGGTAATCGTGAGGATGAGAAGTAGGGGGATGTTGATTTTTTTCACTATCCATCATTGTATTCGCGTCTCAGTGGCTTCGCCTTTCAATTCAATTCTCGAATCGTTCACTCATTCATTATTGCCTTCATTCATTCATTCGTTCGTTCATTCACTCATTCATTCATTCGGTCATTTATTTATTCATTTGTTTGGTAATCCATTCATTCATTCACTCATTCATTCATTCGGCCATTCATTCATTTATTTGGTCATCCAATAATTCGTTTGGTCATTCATTCATTCATCCATTCAATCACCGTACAATCCATCTTTCTATCTTAAGGACATATGGACAAAGATACACAAATACATACATACGGCCTGGCACACAGACAAACACACACACACACACATGTATGTACGCTGATTAAATTAAAAATTTCAATATTGGACTAGGCATATTTATGGCTTCTTAAGACTATCATTATTTACTTGAATTTCATTTATATGTATGTATGTATGTATGTATGTATGTATGTATGTATGTATGTATGTATGTATGTATGTATGTATGTATGTATGTATGTATGTATGTATGTGTGTATGTATGTATGTATGTGTGTATGAGTGTGTGTATGTTGGTTTGTTTTTATGTCTTTGTTTTTCTTTTTTCTTCCATATGCCCGTTCATTTGTTCATTAATTAATTGGTTAATTAATTATTCATTCATTCATTCATTCATCCATCCAATCGTTTATTTACACAGTCACTTATTCACTCATTCACTCACTCATTCACTCACTCATTCACTCACCCATTCATTCATTCATTCATTCATTCATTCATTCATTCATTCATTCATTCATTCATTCATTCATTCATTCATTCATTCATTCATTCATTCATTCATTCATTCATTCATTCATTCATTCATTCATTCATTCATTCATTCATTCATACGCACATTCACTCATTCATACATAAACTAATTAATTCGCTCATGCATTCAATCACTCATGCATTCATTCATTCATTCATTCACTCGTGCATTCATTCATTCATTCACTCGTGCATTCATTCATTCACTCGTTCATTCATTCATAATTAGTGACAGCTTAGCGTTCGTAACGGAAGCCGTGAGGGGCAGTTTGGCGAACCTGCTCGGGGTTTACGACAAAAAATCACACCACCAACAACAACAGCAACAACAACAAGTCAGTTATGATAATGATGATGTTGGTGGTAATGATGGTGGTGGTGATGATGATGGTGATAGTGGTGGTGATGATGATGATGATGTCGTTTCTCCCTATTTTAATTATGATCTCTGGAGCGAGTCAGATGGAAAAATGGTCAACTACAATCGGAAAAAAATAATAATGCCAAGAAAAAAAAGAAGAAAAATAATAATAATAATAATAATGATAATGATAATAATAATAATAATAATAACTGTTCAAATAATATTTGTCAGGTGGAAGAATTCTTGGACGTGGAAGTGCTGAGTGGAGTGCAACAGGTTATGATGATGATGGTGGTGGTGGTGATGATGATGTTGATGACGATATGACAATGATGATGATGATTATGTTGGTGATAATGATGATGGTGGTGCTAGAACGTTATTTATTGCTAAAGATAAAAATGTGAATTTTTCCCGGCAAATCTGAATCTAACTACTCAACTTAATAAATAAATAATGTTACAAAAAATAAAAATAATAATAACAAAATAATAATAATAATGAAAATAACAACAAACAAAACCGTCTGAAGCAACTAAACTCGCGTTAATCAGCAACAATACAGACGTTCGATCCGGGTAAAAAACGTCTCTTTTACTCGTATCTAGGTCAGATGTCACGTGATTCGCGTCAAAATGAGGTCACAGGTCACATGATTCCTGTCAAAATTGGGTCGAAAGCCTTTCGATTTACGGGTCACAAAACCAACATGGCGTCGTGTTTTTTCGCGTGCGTGTGTGTTTGTGTGTGTGTGTGTTTGTGTGTGTGTGTGCGTGTGTGTGTGTGTGTGTGTGTGTGTGTGTGTGTGTGTGGATGTGTGCGTGTAGTCTGCGTAAATATCATGTTACTATTTTCTGTCAAAAATTGATGGGGATGATGATGAGGACGACGGTGATGGATGATGATTGTGATGATGATGACGATGATGATGACAGTGATGATGATGATTGCGTAATAAAAAAAAGTTCGCATGGAGGACGTGTGGTGCATTTTCAACGAAGAAGATATGAAAATTTTTATTAATAATGTTGTTCTTCATCATACTATTGATATTTTTATTATTATCATTATTATTATTTTCAGTATTAGTAGTAGTAATAGTTATTGTAGTAGTAGTAGTAGTAGTAGTAGTAGTAGTAGTAGTAGTAGCAGTAGTAGTAGTAGTAGTAGCAGTAGTAGTAGTAGTGGTGGTAGTAGTAGTAGTAGTAGTTATTGTTGTAGTAGTAGTAGTAGTCGAAATAACGTGAAAATTCATAATAAAATGAAATTAAAAAATGAACTTAGCATCATAATTATCACCATCATCATCATCATTATCATCATTCATCATCATCATTGTCGTCCCACCATCATCATCGTCCCACCACCACCACCATCATCATCATCACCATCAGCTTCGCAATCATCACCATAACTCATCTTGAACACAACACTTAGAGACAATTGGATGCACGTATGTGGCACAAATAGCTACATTAAATAGCACTAGGATTCTCTCTTGTTGTTTTCATGCAATCATCATCATCATCATCATCGCCGTCATACAATCATCATCATCATTAATGACATCATTATCATCATCATGAACAACATCATCATCACCGTCAACAACAACAACGTCAATAAGTTTACCATTATCTTCATCATCGTCAACAAAAACACCAACATCGCCTTTGCCATCATCATCATCATCTGTCTCATCATCATCATTATCACCATCATTGTCATCGTCATCACCATCATCGTCATCATCATCATCATCATCAGTGCTTCCTTACTTAACGAGAATTTATATTTAAAGTGGTTATAAATTGGTTAGAGCACTGCCTTAAATGGCAATTTTAATGGATGGATGGATGGGCGAACGAACGAACGAACGAACGATTGAATGAATAAATGAGTGAGTGAGTAAATGAATTAGTAAATAAATGAGTGAAAGAATGAACAAATGAATGACTGAATGAATGAATGAAGTGAGTAAATGAAAATAGCGAAAGATTGGAAAATTGAATTAGCGATAAAGAAAAAACTTGGACGGATGAATGATTATTTTATTTTTTTATCATTTTATTTTAGCTACCACCAATCATGATCATCATCATTATTACTATCATCATCACCACCACACTCATCGTCACCACCACCATCATCACCAAGAAAGACAGTAGACGCAAATTTATTTTTAGCTTGGCGGAGCGCCGTATTAATAATGGAAGTCGAATAGACAGATAAAGTAAGAGATAGAAAGAGAGAGAGAAAAGAGAGAGAGAGAAAGAGAAAGAGAGAGAAGAAGCTACAACAAAAGAAATAGAGAAACCAATAGAAAGAAAGAGACAAGAAGCGGATGAAAAATAAACTAATTAATTTTGAAAAAAATAAAATTGTAATTATGAATATGACTAAGATCATCATCATCATCATGACGATGGTGACGATGACGACGATGATGATGTTATTTATTTAAAGTTTACTATTTAGTCATTTTCATTCGAAAACCATTACATTTGGAACTTTAGACTTCATTAACAAATAAAAAAACATTTTCGGGCCTTTTTGGTTTTCCCGCGCTTTTGAGTTTTTCCGCGCTTTAGATTATAAATTTATAAAAATTTTGACGTTTTGAATTTATAAAATTTTTTCGTGTTTTATGTTTTTTTTGGTTTAAAATTCCAACATGTGATAAAATTTAAAGTAATGAAAAATCTTTTTTGGACCATGGTAAAGAGTAATTTTCACTGGTTGAAAATTTATTTTATAATTATTATTATTATTATTATTAAAGATATTATTATTATTATTATTATTATTAAAGATATTATTATTTATCGACATCATCATTAATACAATCGTTATCTTAATCGTCGTGTCTTTGGACTGTTTGAAAAATAAAAAACAATAAGAAATAATAAAAAAAATAATTAAATAATAATAATTATAATAATAACATAATAATTGATAATAATAATAATAATTCATAATAATTCATAATAATAATAATAATACTAACAAGACATTTCAAATTGGAAGGAGCGTCCTTCATTTGAGCTCATTGATGGAGCGAAATTGATAGAGGATAAAAAAATTTCCGGAAGAAATTGTATTTATGTTTGTTTGCATGTGTGCGTGTGTGTGTTTCTGCATGTGTGCGTGTGTGTGTATGTATGTGTGTGTGTGTGTATGTGTGTGTGTGTGTGTGTGTATGCATTACAAGTTATGTTTGGCTTTTGTTTTTCTTATAAAAAATGCTAAAAAGCAAATTCCATTATAGCGAAAAAATATTTCCTGCTTATGGGAAAAATTTTGCAAACAATTTTTCTAAAAATATTTTCGCGGGCAAAAGACCATTTCTTCTTTTTTAAATTTATTCATCCTAAAATTCTCAAGTTGATGGATTGGAAGTTTTATAACGATGATGATGATGACGATGTTGTTGTTGATGATGACGATGTTGTTGTTGATGATGACGATGTTGTTGTTGATGATGACGATGTTGTTGTTGATGATGACGATGTTGTTGTTGATGATGACGATGTTGTTGTTGATGATGACGATGTTGTTGTTGATGATGACGATGTTGTTGTTGATGACGACGATGATGACGACAGAATGACGCTGAGGTTGGTTTATAAACTATAAATCATAGCCGCTTCTGGCTAGTAAAGCCGTCAATGTAAACAATACACCGAGTCGTGTCTGAGTATTCTAGCATTTCAGTAAGTACTCTTGTACTCCTGCATGTACCCGTTGTACTTGCCTAAGTACATTTGTATTGTAGTAGTAACATAAGAATGCGCGTGTACGCTTTGCGTGTGTGCGTTGTGTATATAGTATCGCAACTACTAAATCTTTCTGCAGTACTCGCGCTATTTTCTTAGTCTCTCAGACTCTCTCTCTCTCTCTCTCTCTATCACATCTTCCTATCTTCCTCTTTTTTTTTCTTTTTTCTGTCCTATTAATAACAGGCTCTCTTTTTATCGTTATTTCTCTATTTTTCTTTCCATCATTCCACCCATTAATTTTTATTTTTATCAAACAAGTTATTCAATCTCTTTTCCATTATTTCATTTCATCTACATAAATATTCATCTTCATCATCCCCATCATCAACGTCATCATCATCATCATCAACGTCATCATCATCGTCGTCGTCATCATCATCATCACCGTTCCGTAGACATCTTAACTAACACCTCACCTCCGAAGGTACTCCCAAACTACCGCACCTACTTACCCTTTTAATATATCATATTATCGCTCACTCACCTTACAAATTTTCCCGCGTAAATTTGCATAGAAAATAAAACATGGCGGCCTCTGGCCGCCGCATAGATAAAAAAATCTAGCGCTTTATTTATTTGTTTTTCTTTGTTCATTTGTCTATGCCGGCTGTAATGTTTATTTATCTATGTTGTGTTCTTTGAAGGTCGTTAGTGATTTGAATAATTTTTCTTTGTGTTTACATTGCTATGAAGAGAGCTGGCAAAATGGATTGCAACTGCTAAGCGCTGAACTACGGCATTATTTTATCTTTGTTTTTGTCTTTGTACTCGTGCCTTTGATTTGTTGTCATTGGTGTTTTTTCTGTTGTTTTTCTCACGGGATTGTTTATTTTACTTTCAAACAAACCTAGCTGGCGATTAATACTTTCTTGTTTGTTGTACGTTGAAGTATTTGTGTCAATTCATGAATGTATGCCTGTGTGTATCTGCCTGTCTCCCTACCTGTCTGTCTCCCTACCTGTCTGTCTGTCTGCCTGCCTGCGAGCTGTGTTTGCAAAACGGGATGGCGTTAGTTGGATTAGCTAGCTAGCCAGAAAGAAATAAGATGATATTAGCTGGCATTTCATTAGCTAGCTATCTAGTTAGTTATCCAGTTAGCAAAGAAATAGGATGGTATCAACAAGTAGTAAGTGAGTTGGTTGGCAAGCTAGATAGTAGGAGCCGATACAAAGTTACTTGAAATAAAATAAACGAAGCAAAACAAATTATGGTAGCATTTCTTTTCAGTTAATTCGAATTATGTGCGTATTTTTATGGGTAGGTACTTATGTGTATTTGCGTATGGATACAAGATACAAAACACTTTAACGCGTTAGCCCGCAAAACAAATACCTTGGTGTCAAACGGTTTAACATACAAACCGCATAAACACATGCAAATTTACGTCACTTATAAATATTTCCCGCGTTTTTTTGTTTTCTTTTTCTTTCCGGTTAAAAATAGATTTTTTGTTTTTTTTTCTTCTAATATATTATATTTTTCTTTACATAAATACACAAATGTATAGGCATGTACAAACATGTATACATGAATATAGATATATATTAACATGTATTCTAAAATATTTGTATGTATGAAAGTATGCATGAATGTATGTATGTATTGTTTATGTACGTAACTATGTATGTAAGTATACTTGTGTATGTGTATTATATAGGCATGTATATGTGTATGTTGTATACTGTATATGTGTATGTTGTATACTTATGTATATGTGTGTGTGTATGTTATTTACATATGTAAGCATGTGACAAAATCTGTAAACGCTCATAAACAAAAGTATTACATTACGATAATTACAAACACAAAGATGTAGATGCTGACGATGACGAGAAGGATGATGGCGAGGAAGAAAAAAAAACCGGAATAGATGCGCATAAAAAGATGAACTGAATGGTCACGTGTTCGATGACGTGTTAGCCAATGGACTCGACATGTGCTATCGAAATTGAATCATCTAGGTGATTATAAATACAATGGCATTATTACAAAGTTCAATGACCGCTGGTTTTGTTTGTATGTTTGTTTGTATGTTTGTTTGTGTGTTTGTTTGTTTGTGTGTTTGTTTGTATGTATGTTTGTATGTTGAATGTATGTACACAGTTCATATTTGCTATGGATGTATTTTGAAGAGATCTTTGTTATATTTTCAATTAATGTTTCTTAGATACCTTCTCTATTTTTTCATGTTTTTTGGTACCACTCATAAACGTGACCTCTTGGCTTCCGGTAAAAAATGCTGCATCAATCATCGTCCAAAGATCTCGAATAAGAAATGGAAGCATAGATAAAAATGAGTAAAAAAGAAGATTATGAATAGCTTATAACTCTTACATCCATTTGTAAATTGGATAAGTATTTATCATTTCTGTATTGGATACCTAAATACATACATACACACACACACACACACACACACACACACACACACACATACATACATACATTTTTATAAAAATCATTATCTATGACTTTTTTATTTGTTGGTATTTATGTTTACGTCATTCGGTTTGACGTGTGTTTCAATTTTATATCGTGTCGGTCGGTCGTTCGTTGTATGTTTTTGTTTTGTATGTTTGTTTGTTTGTTTTTGTATGTTTTGTATGTTTGTTTGTATGTTTTCGTGTATGTATTTAAGTATGTATGCATACATGTAAGCATTGGAAAATTTCAAATTTCACCCTGGTCAACCGTGTGACATTGCTTCACTGGGAAAATTTATATCGGAATAAAATTTTGTTTCGTTTCGTTTCGTATGTATGTTTAGGATGTGTCTGTGTGTGTCTGTGTGTGTCAAAGAAAGAGAGAAAAAGAAAGAAAAAGAGAGAGAGAGAGTGAGTGAAAGAGAGAATGAGTGATGATAAAGGATGTTAATAAATGGAGGGACTATTTTTGAAACATTGGTGATAATAAATCAAATGACAGCGAATAATAAATAAATGAATATGACGAAGATGACGATGAAGATGAAGACGATGATGTTGTTGTTGCTACTGCTGATGATGATGATAACGACGACGATGATGACGTCATGTTAAATTTTTTTATTTTGGAAATGCGGTTGTGGGTTCTGCTAAATGATTAAATTGATCGATAGATGATCGATGATCCTAAAATTAAGAGAAATACACGCACGCACGCACAAACACAAACAAACATACATACAAACAATCAAACAAACATACATACAAACAATCAAACAAACAAACATACAAACAAGCAAACAAACACTTCGACAAACGAATGATTGAAAGGCAGTATTTTTGAACGCGTGGATTAAAAAGCTATCGGTCAATCAATTATATTATATTTATATTTATATAAATATATTATATTATATATATAATATTATATATATTTATAAATAAATGTATAATATTATTTTTATTTATATATATTTATTCATCAATAATTGCATTTCTGACAGTCTTAATCCTATATATATATATATATATATCATATCATACCGCTTTGTTTTTTACAGTTATACTTATGCAAATTATTTATAAATATCATTATTATATTTTTATTATTTATAATAGTAATATAATTATTATTATTGTTTTGTTGTTATTTATTTTAAAACTTATTTAATTGCCTTCTTTCGTTCTCCAGAGCAGGTAAAATTACACGGTAGCTATTTAGCGTTATTATTGTATCTCTTTTTTTTGAGTTGTGTGTGTTTTTATTATTATCATTATCATTATTATCTTATTATTATTACTATTTTATTATTATTATTATTATTTTATTATTATTATCATTTTATTATTACTATTGTTGTTATTATTATTGTTAATTGTTTTTAATTCATAAAAATTCGTTCGTTCATTTCAGTGTAATAGAATTTGTACAGCGCAACAGCGTAATAATAAATGCTATTCCAGTTGGAATGAGTTTTGTAGCAGTGGATGGATGGATGATTGAGTAAATGAATAAAAGAATCATCATTGTCACAATGAATGAGTGAATGAATGAATGAATGAATGAAAGAATAGATAGGTGAATGGATGGATGTCTGCTGAACTTTTTCAATTTAATTCGACTTGAACTAATTATTTCATCATCAGCATCAGAGCCATTGAAATCATCACTACCATTTCCATCATCATCATCATCTTCATCATTATCGTCACAATCATCATCATCTTCCTCGTCACAATCATCATCATCGTCGTCATCGTCACAATCATCATCATCATCACAACCACAGATCTGTAAAGCTCTACACTACTTGCACACAGCAGAAAGAATTGTCCATTTGAATATATCGCCGCAAAATATCATAGTCACTAAAAAAGGTGATGCTGATGATGATGCTGATGATGATAATGATGATGTTGATGATGGTGATAGTAGTGATGATGGTGATGATAATAGCGGTAATGATGATGATGAATCTTTCAACAAACTGACCACAAAGTATGTGGTGACGATGATGATAGCAATGATGATGATGATGAAAGTGACAAAGATGATGATGATGAATCTTTCAACAACTGACCAATAGGCATGTGGAAGCTTGCTGGCTTTGGGTTCGTTCAGAGTTCAGAAGCGGGGTTTGAGGTTTGTAGTAGAAGCAGAAGTAGTCACAGTAGTTGTTTTAATGGTATTAGCGTTAGTCGCAACGATAGCAGCAGTAGTTGCAGTAGTAGAAGTAGAAGTATTAATAGTTTGTGAATGAATTGATAATTATTAATGAAACAATTTCAACAAAATTTTTACAATGAAAATAATTCGAAAATGAAACTTCTTAGTGATGACTGATGCCCCCCGTCAATCGTTAATTTAAGCGTGCGAATCATCATCATCATCGCCAACATCGTCATCATCATCATCGTCATCATCGCCATCATCACCAGGGGAGCAGTGTACGTCCATGGCAGTCGAAGCAATCAAAAATGGCGCAACCAGATTTGGATTTTATGGCGCCGGAAGTGCAGTTGATGACGTCAAAGTACGTGACGCCATGTTGTGACGTCTTCTCGGTCGCCATGTTAATGGCGGCCATCTTTAACAGCGGCCAATCCCTAATTCAGGCTAACTATACAGTCAGCAATTACGGGAAGCAGCTTGATCAGGTTTGGCAACAACACGATGATGATGATCATCATCATCGTCATCATAATTAGTTATTTAAAAATATTTATAACTATAATTAATAATATTAATGTAATACGAGCTGCATACTATGCGGAAAATAAATTTTGTTTGGCGACAAACTTTAAGCCGGCATCTAGACGCCTTAGAAGTCTATTTAATGTCATCAATCATCATCATCGTCGTCGTCGTCGTCTTCATCATCATTCTCACCATCGTCTTCATCATCATCATCATCGTCGTTGTCATCATCACCTCTTTATTTTCACTCACTTATTTAGTGACAATTATTGCTAGACTAGATAATGATGATGATGATGATAAGCGTTGCTGATGAAGATGACGACGACGTTGATGAAGATTGTGATAATGATGATGAGAATGATGATGATGATGAGAATGATGAAGATTGTGATGATGATGAGAATGATGATGATGACGACGGTGATGATGATTTTGATTAACGAGCAGAGATTTGAAAGGATTAACAGCATACGAACGCATTTGCGATCATAATCATCATCGTCGTCATCTATATTTCTATATTATTATTATTATTATTATTGTTGTTGTTGTTGTTGTTGTTGTTGTTGTTGTTATTATTTGTGTTTGTATATTTTTTCAAAGTTTAAATTTTTATACATTTTATTCATTTTATTTTATTATTTATTTTATTTTATTTTATACATTTTATTTTATTTTATTTTATACATTTTATTTATTATTTTATACATTTTATTTAATTAAAATTAAATTTTCAAGATTGTTGAAAGAGTTGAAGGCATATCAGGTAAGTTGCCGGAGCAGTGGAGTGAGATGATCGTCAGGATGGTTAGCAGAGATACTAGATGCCGACCAACCTTACAAAGTTTTGTATCGGTTAGTATTTCTTCGTATTTGTGTGTGTGTGTGTTTGTGTGTACGTTTGTTTGTGTGTGTGTATGCAAACCCACAGAGAAAGAATTATATCAATGGGTGCTTTTGTGTGTATTTTTTATCATCATCGTCATCGTCATCATCGTCATCACTGAAATCTTGATTATCATCGTCATCATCGCCATTCTCACAGCAACTCTAAACGATTAATTATTATCAGTCGAACGAGACACGCAATAAGTAAGTTACTAATACGAAGACCATCCTCATCGTCGTCCTCATCATCATCATCACCATATTTATCAACATCATCATCACCATATTTATCAACATCATCATCATAATAATTATCAACATCAACACAATCATGATCATCATGATCTTCATTGTCGTCATCATCATCGTCGTCACTGTCACGTCAATTTAAAAGTTATTCTCAAATTTCTCTGTTTAAACTGTTTAAACACAAGTAAACAAAAATAGCTGAAAAACATACAAACAAACATACAAACATACACACAAACATACAAACAAACATACACACAAACAAACCTGTTTGAAATGCGATACTATCATTTATCTTATTCAAAATGGACTTTTTGTCGTTAGTGGTTTATTTTGGTGCCGGTTTTTGTTGTATATTTGTATGTATGTATGTTCGTACGTACGTACGTACGTACGTATGTATGCATGTATGTTAATCCGTATGTTTGTATGTTTCTTTGTACAAACATACATACATACATACATACATACATACATACATACATACATACATACATACATACATACATACATACATACATACATACATACATACATACATACAAACAAACATACATACATACATACATACATTTTTTATCTCTGTCATGATTAAAAAAAGTGTACATTAATTTCGATGCTTTAAGTGCAAAAAAATACATACACATACACATATACGCACAGACACACAGACATACACACACGTACATACAAACGTACACACATACTTACACACATACATGCACACATTCCATCGGATTTTTGTGTGAATTAAGCGGAAGAAAGCGTTCGGTAATCCTACCTAGTGAATTGCTTAATTATGCTATACACAAATCTTTTTTTCCTTCATACGGTTTTTCTAATAATCGTTTGTTTTGGTTTTTGTTGACGATGATGATGATGGTGATCAACAACATCTTTTTGTCTTCGTCACCATCTTCGTCTTCGTCACCATCTTCGTCATCGTCATCGTCAGATGCAATGTTTTGACGATCCAGTCATACATTGTTTGGATCTGGTGGATTCGTTTGACGCCAGCAAAAAAGCCGAGCTCTTCACCCAACTGCCACAAATTTTACCGCTATTTCCAACGGTGATTTTGATGTTGATGTTGTTGTTGTTGTTGTTGTTGTTGGTGGTGGTGGTGGTGGTGGTGGTGGTGGTGGTGGTGGTGACGGTGTTGTTTTGTTGTTTTTTTCTATCCACTAATCATCTATCTTCCGACCAACCATCCAACCAAACAACCAAACAACCAACCAGCCATCCAAACAACCAACCAACCAACCAGCCATCCAATCAATCAACCATCCAATCAACCAATCAACCAATCAACCACCCAATCAACCAACCAACCACCCAATCAACCAATCAATCAACCATCCAAACAACCAACCATCCAAACAACCAACCATCCAACCAATCAACCAATCAATCAATCAACCCTTCTAGAAACTTCTCTACACCACAATCATGTTGTTGATCAAAGAGCAGCTAGAAGACCAGGAGACCATGATATTCGGGCTGCCTGCTTTGCTAGCCATGATCATAAACAGCACTGATGACGAATATGCAAACATAATTCAGCCCGAACTTAAAAAACTCCTCAACATGAATAAACCAGTTCAGGTTATGATAATGATTGCTGGGATGATGATGATGATGATGATGATGACGACGAAGACTATGATGACGACGACGATGATGATGATAATGACGATGTTCCAACTGCTGAAACACGCAAAAACGAACTTGCCACAGAGTTAATTGCGTTAATACGTGGTTGAAATTATTTTGAAACAGAAAAATAAAAAATAAATAAATGAATAATAATAAGAAGAATACTACATATAAATAATAATATATAATAAGAAAAACAAAAATAATAAATGGATGTTAAATATTTCACGAAAAAAAATTTTGAAAAAATCTTTACATTTAGCAAAGCGATAACCGTTTTTACCGTTTCGTTTCGTTTCATTATATTTTGTTTAGTTTCGTTATATTTTGTTTTGTTTCGTTACGTGACTTCTTTAATATCCCAACTTCTTATTCGTTTTGTCGTTTTGTTATATATGTTTCACTTCGTTTGTGTTTAATTTTGTTCGTTGCCCTGTACTCGGCTTGTATGTTTCGTTTCGTTATAATTTGTTTCGTATCGTCATTTTCTGTTTCGTTTCGTTTTGTACATTTTTCTTGCTAATGCGAGTGCAAAGAGATAATTGTTTTTGAAAGCGGAGCGAAATATAAATTCTTCCGTAGTCGTCATCATCATCGTCGTCATCATCATCGTCGTCATCATCATCGTCGTCATCATCATCGTTACCACCACTAGCTTCATCATCATTACCACTACCACTGCTATCATCATCACCACCATCGTCGTCATCATCACCGCCAGGCCACAATTTACTTGTTAGAGAACATGGACTCCTTGCTATCAAAGGCAAGCGCAGACGAGATCACTAATGACATCATGCCCATGCTGTATAGTACGCTCGAATCAAATAATATTCTCGGCCAGGTTGTTCGTTCGTTCGTTTGTTCGTTTATTCATTCGTTCGTTCGTTCGTTCGTTCAATTAATTGTTTTTTATTATGCCGTTGTAGTATTGTAGCAAGCTAAAATCAAATAATATTTTTGTGAAAGGTGTTTGCTTGTTCATTCATCAAGCCATTCATTCATTAATTTATTCATTTGTTCGTTCGTTTGTTCGTTCGTTTGTTCGTTCGTTTGTTCGTCCGTTTGTTCGTTCGTTTTATTCATTCATTCACCCAATTACGCTTCCATTTAACCGTCCATGCATTCGTGAGCAAGAATTAATTCACCTTCTGCTGTAAAATAACTATGTACGACTTCAAATAAATTTTTCTGGGTTATTTCAATTTAGATTTTTTTCTTTCTTTCTCTCTCTCTCTCTCTCTCTTTTTCTTTCTTTTTGTCTCATTTTTTTCAAAATACACTTTTTTTCCAACTATCATTTTAACCACTTCATCATTTTTTCATTGTTTTTTTTCTTTGTCATATTTATTTATTTATTGTTTATAAAATAAATAATTCAGCAATCATTCAATCATTAGTTCATTCATTCGATCATTCATTTATTTGTTCGTTCATTTGTTCGCTCATTCATTCATTCATTCATCCATCCATTAGTCCATCTACTAATTTGCCTTTGGAGGCAGATCTAAACGCCTTTGACGCTAAAAAATTACGTAGAAAATGACGTCACCCATCTACCCATACACAAATTCATCCATCATTCACTCATCTATTCATTCATTCATTCATTCATTCATTCATCCATCCATCTATCCACTAATTTGTCTAGGAGGCCGCCCTAAACGTTTTTGACACCCTGAAGAGTTACATAGAGGATGACGCCGTTAAAAATTTAGTCCTGCCAAAAGCCAAATCACTATTCAACAAGACGTCCAGCGTTAAGGTCGTCGCTGTGGCTACTACTGTGGCGACAATTGTCGTTGCTTATTATTGTTATTATTGTTATTATTATTATTGTTGTTGTTATTATTTATATTATTATTGGCGTGAATATATAAGGAGTTTAGGTTGAAATTATAATTTTTTATTCTTCATCATCACCACCATCATCATCATCATTATCGTCTCCATCATCATCATCATCATCGTCGTCTCCATCAGACAAAGGTCACGTGCTTGGAATGCATAGACGACATGATAGAGAGCCTGGATAAGATGATAATATTGGATGACGTCTTGCCATTCCTGTTGAACATCCAGTGTTCGGATGCTGACGTCATTATGGCCATAATTGGTCAGTCAGTGAGTCAGTGAATGAGTGTGTGAGTGATTAAATGAATGAATGCATGGATGGATCGATGAATTAGTGAATGAATAATCGAGTGAATTATTGAATCGATGTATTAAGGTAAATATTTGTCGTTGCAAACATTCGAATGTACGAACGAATGAATGATGAACGAACGAACGAATAAATAAATGAAAGAATGAATGAATGAAAGTGTGAAAGACACAAAAACGAACTCCAACAGACATCTACGAGGAGTTACTTTCGGACCGGAAGTACGGCTTGGGGCATGGGATCCTCGCATCCAGGGTCATGCCAAATCTCATCCCATTTGCCGCCATTCCTGGACTTTCCATTGAACAGGTTATGATGATGATGATGAGGCTGATGACGATGATGGTGGGTGTGACGACAATGATGATGATGACGATGATGATGTTGCTGATGGCGATGGTTGTAGTTGGGATACATTTATGATGTTGCGGTTGTTGATGATAATGATGATGACCAATTTTGACCACTATTACTAAGACCATCTTTACCATCATCATCATCATCGTATCATTATCATCATCACCATCATCACCACCATCATCATCGTCATCGTCATCACTGAAGTTTACAAAGTTGATGGAAGTTTTGAGGGACATGCTGGATGAGATTGAGCGTCAGAGGCTGGCCAAGATGGCCAACGAGATTCCAGATCACGTGGACCTTGAAAGGAGGTTGTTGTTATTGCTGTTGTTGTTGTTGTTGTTGTTATTGCTGTTGTTGTTGTTACTGTTGTTATTGTTTCCGTTGTTATTGTTGTTGTTATCGTTTTTGTTGTTGCTGTTGTTGTTATTGTTATCATCATCATTACTGCATCACCATAAGAAGAACGTCATTGGACATGAGGAACGTTGACGTAACAAGTTTGAAGCCGCTCATCGCAGCTAGCAGCGCAACCACATCAGCTACAAACGTCATTCCGACTAATATAATAGCTACAACTACAGCTGAAACTGTCAGCAGACCTCAACATAGAAACAGTAGACGTTGGTGATGATGGGGGGTGGTTGTGATTGTAGTAATGGTGGTGATATTGATGATGATGGTTATGATGATGATGGTGGTGATAATGATGACGATGGTGATGGTAGTGATGATGATGATGATGGTAGTAACGACGAATATAATAACGATAATGATGTTGATAGTGATGATACAACCACAACAATATCTACAACTACTACCACTTCTACTACTACTACTACTGCTACAAAAAATTAATTTGCTTTATGATAATGCTTCATATAGACATTTAAATATTTTATAAGGTCGCTAAATTCACACAAAGGTTAATAGTATTATTGTTATTTGTTACTATCACTATCTATATTATTACTATTATTATTATTATTTAAATAATAATACTATATATATATATAGTATTATTATATTAGTATATATATATATATATATATATATATATATCGACCATTCGGCCACCATCATCATCATCATCATCAACCGTTTACTTGAAAAAAAACTTTCTATTGAATCTGAAAACAGAGAGGGAGAGAGAGAGACAGAGAGACAGAAAGAAAGAGAGAGAGATAGAAAAAGAGAGAGGGAGTGTATGGGTGTGTGTGTGTGTGTATGTGTGAAGGATAAAGATAGAAGGACAAACACAACAGAGAGGAGACAAGTGTGGAGTGTGCACTGTATGCTCATCAGTCAAATAAATTTATATTAATATTTACTGAAACACCTGCAATTGTGTCTATCAGGGAAAGAGAATGAGAATGAAAATGATGTATCTCTATGTATATCTGAAGAAATACCGCGAATCAAATGTTTTTTTTTATTAAATAACATAAAATTTGAAATAAAATCTGTGTGTGTGTGTATGTGTATCTGTCTGTCTGCGTGTGCGTGCGTGTATGCGTGTGTATACCTGCCTGTGTGCGTGTGCGTGTATGTTTGCCTGTCTGTTTGTGTGTGCGTGTATATGTATGTACTTAATGCACTTCCTTATAGACCAGATAAAAAAAATTAATAAAATTGTATGCAAGTATGACAATATTTACATACAAATACAAAAAGTGTATGATTTTTAGTTCGTCTTGCCTTTTGCTCTATATGCATTGGTTGGCATGCTTTGAGCGTGTGTGTGCATATTAAGTGTCGTTACAGGTGTGTATGTATGAGTGTTTGTATGTTTGTTTGTATTTTTGTTTGTATGTTTCGTCTGTCTGACTGTCTCTATAATTCTGTCTCTCTGTCTGTCTGTCTGACTGTCTGTAAGTTTGTTTATGCAAATTCTCGTTAGTCTGTATGTCTAGGTGTGTGTATTTTGTATTTGTATTTGTTTCGCATGTTCATGCATACATACAAACAAACAAACAGTCATACAAACAATCATACATACATACATACATACATACATACAAACAATCATTCATACAAACAAACAAACACACAAACAAACGAAAATAACCCAGTCATATAAATACATCAAGGCAAGTGTTAGGAAAAGAGTCATTAAAGTCAGACCAGAAGTAAAAAGGTCCAAAAACATAATTGTGAAAATAAAAAGAAATAAAAAACAAAAAAAAAACTCAAAATTCTGTAAATTTAAAAATGTATTTAAAGTTAAATTCAATTTAAAACAAAACGAAAAATAACCAGTTAGCTTCTTAATGGCTCGAGAAAAGCTTGGAAGGTTTTTGGTTTTATGGCTAGTGCTTTCTAATATACATTCGTGACTATTTATCAGAGCTTTTTTTTTAATTTTTATTTTTATTACTGTTATTGTTGTTATTGCTGCTTTTAATATTACTATTTATTTACATTTATCTCAATTTTTTCTACAAACTAATTATGCCTTCTTTATGGCCAGCAAGTTAATCACCGTGATTTACGACACAATTTAACCTAACACAAGGCAATGCACACGCACGCACACACATACATACATACACACGCACGCATATATATATACATACATACATACATACATTAACACATACACACATACATACATACATACATACATACATACATACATACACACATACATACATACATACATACATACGTGTTACTTGATGTTTGACGGTTCAGTGTCACTCATCATGTTTTGGTTTTAACATACACACATACATACATACATACACACACACATACATACATACATACATACATACATACATACATACATACATACATACATACATACATACATACATACATACATACATACATACATACATACATACATACATACATACATACATACAAGTGCGCGTATATGCATAAATGTTTTATGATTATTAGACACGATGCGATATGTAAGGAAGGTATATAACTTTTTTTCATCATCTTCGTCATCGTCATCTTTATCACTATGATCATCACCGCCACCGAGTCGTCATCGTCGTCGTCATCGTCTCGTTGAGGCACCCAACACTTTACCAGGTCATCTCAAACTTTTTTCAAATTAAAAATGTCCTCTGCTGAATGTTTCACAAGAAAAAAAGATTTTCTTTTTTGTTTCACTCTCACTTTTTCATTTTTCTCTCTCTTCTCTCTCTCTCTCTCTGCATATCTTTCCTTTCTTTCTTTCTTTCTTTCTTTCTTTCTATCTCTCACTTCTTTGTTCAATCTTCTTTTCTTTTTCTTTTCATATATTCAGCAATTTTACTTTTACAAAAAAAAACTTTTGTACCCACCGATTCATTTAATCATTCATACATTAATCAATTCATCCATTTGTCCCCTATACGTTCATTCATTTAACAATTCATTCATTCATTCATTCATTCGTTCGTTCGTTCATTCATTCACTCAATTACTTTCAAGTTTTGTTTTTTTCTTGGTTTTTAGGCACGCACACAATTGCAAATTTTTTTGATTTACGGCGACCTTTGAGAATAATTCTCGCTAATTTTCTTTGTAAAATTTTGAATTTAAAATTAACAAAATTAATTTTAAATCATTTTGTAAAGTTTATTCTGAATATTTTTTCATGGTTTTTATAAATAATTCACACACACTACAAACAAAAATCTTCTTACATATGCGCACACACGCACACACACAAACAAACACTCATACAAACACACAAACAAACACACACACAAACACACACACACAAACACAAGCACACACAATCACTCGAAATAATTGTGTTTATACTATTTACGCTCATATACTGTGAACCCGGCCAAATATACACAACTGGCTCTTAACACAATAATCTACATGAGATTAAAAACTGTCAAACAAACAAACGAACACACCCACATACACACATACATACATTCATACACACACATACAAACACACACACATACATACATACATACTTACATACATACACACTTGAAAAAATGCATTTATTTATTAATTCCAAAGTGAGGTAAACAAAAATTCAGTTTTCGAACGGAAAATGTTCTTCGCGGGATAAAGAGATGCAGTAAACTTTGAGAAAAAAAAACTTTGCACCAGGTGGGGTCATTTTAAACAAAAAAAAATACAAAAAGATACCAAAAAATACAAAAAATACTAAAGAGATATCGAAAAATAGTAAAAAATATACAAACTATAGCCAAAATTGAACGCACATTCTACACAGCTCCCTATCAAAAATACCTTCCTCTTTACTAATACATAAACTCACACCTTACACGCATACATGTAAACATAGATACATACAATCAAAAATAAAAACAAACAAGCATACAAACAAACATACAGCGATATTCACAACGTACGAACCTAGCACCTCGAACAACAACAACAACGACATACTTCTCCCCCCGATGACTGCCAGCAGACGGCATTCAAGTTATCAAGGACTGGAGCAGGTTTGTATGTCTGTCTGTTTGTTTGTTTGTATGCTTGTTTGTATGCTTGTTTTTATGCTTGTTTGTTTGTTTGCACGTGTGTGTGTTTGTTTGTGTGTTTTTTCCTTTTAAGTCACTTAGGATTAAGCGACATTTCACGGTAAATCTAATTTCGCCATTCGCATCACACCCACCTTTGAAAACTTTCGTAAAAATAAATCGGCGCTATAAATGTTCTCATTTAACTTTTCACTAAATTTCCCGCGCTAATTCACTGAATTTCCCGCTTAAAAAATTTTCAAAAACTTTCGAAAATTACCGAAGCAAAAATATTAACTGCGCCCAGAACAGCAATAAACATCAATGTCTTGATATAACATAAATACATAAATACCTGCCATGAGAGCTATCAAATAAATATAATTATATCATAAATAATTACAAATATTTATAAATATTTACTCAAAACTATAATTAATTACAAATATTTATAAATATTTACTAAAAAACTATAATTAATTACAACTATTTATTACTAAATACCACCAATAGAGCTTGAAGGTGAAAATAACAATGTACAAGACCAACTTAATTTTTCATATGATTTAGATCCCTACTCAACATAACCAATGATCATCCATAATTATTTATGAATGATAATTAATGATGAATAATAATTATTTATGAATATTAATTATTTATGAATAATAATTATTTATGAATAATAATTATTTATGAATAATAATTATTCATGAATAATAGTTATTTATGAATAATAATTATTAATGAATAATAATTATTTATGATTGAAATTATTTATGAATAATAATTATGATAAATTATGATAATTAGTGCAGTTTATTTGATGACTGCAGAAGGAGATGACGACGCTGGAGGTCCTGTACAAGCAGCGTCTGGCGAGCAAGAACAGTGCATCGAGCCGGATAGCCTCCTTCCTGTCTCCAATCACAAACGCCAGAAGGTCACACAAGGCCGCCGTCAGGAGGAATAAAAGACAACAACGTCAGCAAGAGAAGAATAAAAAAGGTTTCGTTTTTTGTCGATCTGTCGTTC